GCCTGTTTGATATGCATGAAATAAATCTGATGTATGGGATACAAGATGAACCCCTGCTGGTTAAATGGAATAGGAAGTCTCTGTCAGTGTTGGCATCTGTAAACAGTACCTGGTGGTGTCTGGATGTTGGTAATAATGTGGATTCAGCGTGTGGTAATGGAGACATTGGGAGGGGGATCTCAATGGCATTCCAATGGAGAAATATATTTGTTACTACTGTGTGATGCTTTTAAAATGTGCTGTATGCCTTAATGAAAAGCTGAAAATGTATTATTACTGTTACAACTGTATTATCGGATTGTTACTGTTCCCCTGAAATAAGTGCAGTCTGCCCTCATCTCCACACCTATGCATAGGAATAATCCTGAATACTTATTGGAGCCAAGTGTTTATTTGTATGTGCATGCTGGTTTAGAGGAGTGCCTGAGGGTGGTCAGGGTGTACCTGCATGGCCAACCCCCCTCTTATATATACAGTATGTGCTGCTTAATAGACATTGAAAAGTCTTTGGGTTTCACCTTTTTTGGCTGGATCAAACAATTATATAATGTCTATTTGGCAACTGCAGACACTGCTGGATGAGGCTACTCAGGAGCGATAGTAATGTGAAATATTAGACAACCTTCTGATTATTATTGATTTGTTTGTGATTTCCTTTCTGCATTGTACCTCTTCTGCCATGCTCCATAGGCTACACACAAACGGTTAAAAAGGACCTGCTTAGGAACTAGATGTAGATGTGTGAATGTGGTCAGATTGTGTCTGAACATCGATCCATCTTTTACTGTCTATGGTGGGCAACTTTAAACTTCATCCATATGCATAGACATCCCAAAAAACCTAGGCCTAAGGCCAATACCACCCCAGGGTGTTTTGTAATTCTATTGTTCTTGAACGATAATTGTGAGAATGATGATATGGAAATAAAATACAAAATGCAGACACATCCTAAAGGCATATAAAATGTATTATCATTAACTGAGAATTGGTAAGTTAACCTTTGGAATGTGATTGTTTACATTAAAAAAGGAGGAGACAGGATGATGGCCTTTTAACGCCTCCCTCCCGACTCCAAAAAGTTGACAAATTTCACACTTTGGATGCTCGAGATAGTACTTAGGAAAGGTCTCCTGAGCAGAAAAGCAGATCACTAAGAAGCAGCACCATGGATGTCTCTGTGCTTTTCATCTCTTTTCTTCTAGCCCTCTTTTTGCTAGCTGACTGCACTGAGCTACCATTTCAAGAGAGGATGCTTCTCAAAGCCTTGGGATTAAATGGAAGACCGAGACCAGTCTCCCCCGGCCCTGTTCCAAAGGCACTTTGGAAAATTTTTGAGAAAGGAATTAATGCAGAAAATCCCTGTAGGATGGAAGGCTTTCAAGTTCCAGGAAACATTGTTAGATCTTACAGAGATCAAGGTTGGTACACAAAATGCATTGATGATCTATTTGAACAGACATGTACTACTACAAAATATGTATTATTAATTTTGTGATATTAATTTTGTGTGTGTGTATATAAGTATTTTTCTGGTATATTACAAGTGTATTGAGATGTCTCTAGATATCCCCCTACTGAACTGCAGTTTTGCTGACAATGATCCAGAGGTCCTTGCTTATATGCATTTAATCTCTAATCTCATCCTATCCCATCCTATTGTCTGCTTCCCCAATACCCCGCCAGGCTTTTGTTTAATTATATTAAGTATAATGTCTAGAAACCTTTGGTACATAAGTATGGAGCTTTAGAGGTTTCCACTGCTAACCTTTCTACCTGATGATACAAGTTAGTGGATTGTTAGACTGATCCTAAGGCTCCTTTACTTTCCAAGTTACTCATTTGGAATTTGGACTTATCCTAACATTCCTGATCTGCAGATTTACCCGAGGTCAGTAATTCAAAGCCATAAACTAGAAATCAAAATTGAATTCAAACCAGGAATCTAGCCTTTGCAAAAGTAGGTCAGCAATGACAGTTTACATATTACTGCCAGTACAGTTTCAGTTTATGGTACTCGTGATTTTCACTCTATTTGGCAGGATGTACTTGGGGATAAAATAAAGTGGCTGTTTATTTTCCCAGTGGATCGTCATTGGCCCACCCTCAGTAAAGAAATAACCATGTATGCTTGTATGACAGGAAAGTTCATGTTCATGTAATTTTAAGAGTTTAAGGATCATAAACTTAGATCTTATTGCCATCTCTCATTTATCACCAGCTTTAGTACAGAAGACAAGTCATTTATGACTTAACTTTACAGTTAAATCACAGAAAATACTTTAACAGCTTTAAAATAACATTACTGATAACTGCTGATTTCCCCTGAGAAAAGTTATGTTAGCTGTCTGACTCCTCTCTCTGCCATTCATTTAACACAGGCATATCATATCAAACTGATTGTTTTTTGTCCATGCAGCCCAAATCTTGTTTGTGGCCCTCCGACTGTTTAATGATTTAAATTGAATACGACCTCATCTGTTTGAAAGTTTATTAAAAGAAACATTACCTTACATTATTTTTTAGCTGAACACTTCAGTTCATGTTTTCCTGCTCATTTCCTTTGAGATAAAATACGTTGCAATTGTCAGTATATTGCTAGTTACCAAAGTGATATAATCTTCTTTTAGAATTATGTAGATGTGACCCCCCAGTAAACATAATCTTACCCTTTGAAAACGTATTAAACTCATTTGCACCTACTGTTTTATTTAACTTTGAACATTGCTTATTAACATATACTCTTAGACACCCCTCAGCAATCCAAACCTGTGTGTTTAGGAGAAAAACAGTTGCAAAAGATGATCAGACAATAGTTCTATTATGCCAGTATATCTGAACGTCCAGTACATGTGCAGCTTAACTGTAGTTTGCCAATTTCTAAATATTTAAGTTGCCTATGAGAAATGTCTTTTTCAAAGTTTTTTTAAAGAAAGCAAATTCAGCCTATGCTGTTCAAAGGCAAACAGGTTATAGGCACTGGTCTTTCTTTGTATCTAATATATGTATACTGTTGGATTCTAAATATTTTTAAGGAACGCTAGATAGGGTAGGGAAATGTACCAAAATGTACCAAAATGTCTATTTGGAAGAGGCGGCTCTCTAATTAGGCAGTCGTCTAAGGCCTCGCGCTCACAAGGGCCTCGCGACTGCCTAATTTGCCTAACACATTACAGGGGACCTTAGCGCTGCTGAGCGCAGACAGCATTAAGTGCCAGGTCACATCCAAGAGTGCATCGCAGTCGCCAAACTTCTCATCTCATCATGTTCGGCGGCTGCGATGCACGCTTGGATGTACATATTCATTTGTACATGAATATGGCAGTATGCACTGAGATTGTCGCTCAATCTCTGATAGTGTAAGTAATGGTTAAGACCCGAGGTTAGATTTTTGTTTGCTACGTCTTGTCACCTTCAATTCCTATTCCAGAGACACAAAAGGAAGTGAAAGGAAATCTCTCAAGTGTGGTGTTTCTCTTTTGGATAGAAAGATTAAATGGTTTCTCTTTTAATCTATCTAGATTAACCATTTTTTTAATTTTCTCCTCTACAGGACCTTTAATCTCCAGTGAAGTACCACATGAATCTTTGTGCTTCAAAAAACATCTCTTTTTTGACCTTTCCGTAATTGAGAAAAAGGAGCAGGTGACTCTTGGCCAACTTGAGATCAAGTTCAAGCATAACACATACCACGGACGTGAGTTCCAGTTTCGGTTGTATCGTCCACTTCGTTTATCTTTAAAGGGAATGCGAGACCACCAAACGAATAGAAGACTTCTTTTTGCACAGTCATTTCGTCTACTTCATAGGTCTTTGCATTTCAATCTGACAAAGGTGGCACAGGACTGGACCACCCCAGAGAACAATATGGGTCTAGTTATGGAAATATATGCAGATGGTGAACCAGCTAACAAATTCTCCACACTGTGTGAGCAAATCCATTCCTTCACCCACACCTCTCTTCTCACAGTTACCCTTGACCCTACTAGCTGCAAAGCCGCGAGACCCAAAAGAAGTGCAGAGTCTTCAATGCCTACTCCCAGTAATATATGCAAAAAGAGGCGTCTCTACATTGACTTCAAGGATGTTGGCTGGCAAAACTGGGTTATTGCTCCACGAGGCTACATGGCCAACTACTGTCATGGAGAGTGCCCTTACCCACTAACAGAGATGCTTAAGGGTACCAACCATGCTGTGCTACAGACCTTGGTACATTCTATTGAGCCGGAAATCACACCACTCCCTTGTTGTGCTCCAACTAAGCTATCACCCATCTCTATGCTATATTATGATAACAATGACAATGTTGTGCTAAGACATTATGAGGACATGGTTGTAGATGAGTGTGGGTGCAAATGAATATGGGGTGTTTTTGGATAATTATTTTTTTAGACTACAACCTAGATTCTAGTTTAGATTTACAAATCTATGGGCTACCTACTGCGTCTACAGTATATTGGCCAATAATCCTGTGGCCATCAAATGAATGTCTACCAACACTTGATCAGTATACAGAAATTGGCTTACGGAGATAATAATGTTGACTTTCGGATGTTTTCAATGAACAAAATCAAATGTGAACCTCATACCTTATCTGACAGGCAAATATGCCGTACCCCACATGGATGCAAGGAACTTTTGTTAAACAGCTAAAGAAACAACTGCATTACCTATACTTGCTCCCTGCCAAAATATTGGAATCGGATTCATACACCTCTCCTAAAACAGCCAGGAAGGTGACGCCATTCTTTCTTATTGCAGTTTTGCAGCATCCTGTGCCACTTACCTGCTCTTTGGTCGTTAAGCAGGAATACAATATTCGACTGGACCTTCTGTCTTGACATTGTAACTTCTTCTTCTATCTACCTTGGTAAAGTAAACCATACAAGGGCTATGAACGGGCTGGAATCAGAGGTGACACTGGAAGATACAAAGATGAACCAAGGAAAAAGGGATATCACCTGACAGCGTGGCTGTGGTGTAAATAACAAGACCTATCACACACAGAATTTGAAACAATATATACAGGATGTATAGCAGCTTTGTGTTTGACTGGAGCTCAGCTGTATACGTTGTCATATTGCCCTAGGTCTCTGGAACACTGCAACTTTTTTTTTTTTTTTTTAACATCAAACGACTAGGCTTGCACTAACCAGGGTTATAGAAATGGATCTGTGTCCAAATTTAAATAAAATGTGAACATAGTTTGTTTAAATAAATGTCATAGTTTATTATTTCATGAAACAGTCTAGAAAAGGACCAACAGCTATTTGATCCTAAACCTTATATACCATAACATTGTCACAATTTTAGAAAATCTAAAATTGTTCACTGTTTTTGTAGGGTCCCGCGCCAGAACTAGAGAGGATATTTCACTTGTAGCTTTGCGTGTGATAGAGCTTGCCGTTCTGGGTGTAAATTGCAGTCGATTTATTGGAGCACACGGAAGCCAATTTGTAATTGTTCCAGCCAGCTGGAACTGATCCCACTAAGGCGCATAGGAATTAGCCACTGGTGTGTAAGGTGTCCATACTCCTGCCAATTATTGTACGATAATCGCAGGTGATCCCACGATTGTACGATAAATCGGAAGGTGTATGGGCAGTGTGCAACCGCTTCTACTGTAAGGTCATACGAATTTCCTCTTACGAGCACGCTTGAAAACCCACCGAAAAGCGTACGATTTTCGGCGGGTTGGTATCGTGGTCGGAAGACGAATGCCGCAAATGCACACTGCCGGCTCAGCACGGGGAGGGCTTGCGATGATCGCAAGTACGTTCTGCCAGTCCAAGATTGGCAGATCGTTCGAAATTTTAATGACTGACCTTACAACCAATCGCACAACAAAAGTCGTGCGATGGTTGTAAGGTGTATGGGCAACTTGAGGGTATCAGATACATGCTGTGGATTCCCGCATTACAAATGAAGGCTGCCACTGGTGTTTTTTATAAAACATACATTATTAAAGCCAATTACCTAAAGTTCTGATATCCCATGCAGACCAAAAAGGTCCCACCTTTCATATACATATGAATAAAATACATAGAACAGTAGCCAGGAAAGTAGACAAAATTCAGACCGGCGCAAACCATTGGGACTGGTATTTGCTTTGCCAACGCTAGGAACCAAGGGGCTGCCTTCTCAACTGGAATCTTGACAACATGCAACAAAAACACAAAGCTGGTGCCACCTACTAGTGCAATATGTTTATTTGCCAAATAATGAAATAAAAAGTTCACTATTCCTAAAAGGAAAATCAGGCATATCAATAACAGAGTCTGATGAAGCAAGAACGCTGTATAGTAGTAGGTGCACCTAGGGGTGTATCCACCGCAAGGCAAACAAGGAGTTTGCCTTCGACAGCACAAAATTCCACTCCCAGAACAGTGAAGCAAGCCGGGCTGTCTAATCAAGCAAACTAGGCGGCTGCTCGATCATATAGCTCCCGCTGGAGAAGAACCTGGGGCCCAGCAGCACAGGCCCTGCGGCAGAGGAGGCCGGGGCCCAGCAGTAGGCAGCTCGGGGCTGAAGGCAGATGTCCATCATGTGTGCTGCATCCAGCCACTGAGAGGTTACATAAAATGTCTTAAAACAGGACGTTGCCCGAGATTGATCCGGTCACCACTGTGCGCACCCCAGCAGGTGGTGGCATGGTTACACATTTCAGGGTAACAACTATGAGCATAATCATTTTGATTGGCACCCTGAATCAGGCAACACCGCATGTCTTGCAGCATGCCACAACACACATTAGTGTGTTGCAAAATAGGGTAAGGTCCTATTTTTGGCATATTAGAATGCATTGGCAGGCCATTTATTGCAAAGGGCTACCTTAACACAATGCACAACAACGTGCATAAACGCACCAAAAAGTAAAATGGGCCCTTAAGCTTTTTGACACACACACCGATATCACTAACTGCAATGTATGCAAATTATCTTTTTTTATACAGCTTTCTATATATATATATATATATATATATACACACACACATAGCATATGATGTGCAAAACACAAGAAAATATTGCTATGTTACAAGACATAAAAGCGTCGTTTTCTGGGATACTGCACTTTAAAAATATTATTTTTAAACACAGTTAAACATGTTAAAAAGACAGCAAGTTATTACCTACAGCCACATTCATCCACAGACATATTGTCATAATGTCTCAGCACCACATTGTCACTATTGTCATAAAATAGCATTGATATAGGAGACATTTTTATGGGTACACAACAGGGCAGGGGGATCTCATCAGGCTCAATGGAGTGGGCAAGGGTCTGGAGGATGGCATGGTTAGATCCATTTAGCACTTCCGTTAGTGGGTAAGGGCATTCACCATGGCAGTAGTTAGCCAAAAATCCCTGAGGGGCAATAACCCATTTCTGCCATCCAACATCTCTAAATTCAACATAAAGGCGCCTCCTTTTACAGATATTGCTGGCAGCAAATGGAAACTTGCCATAACTTCTTTTCTTTCGTGATGTCTTACACTGTAGAGGATTGAGGGTCACAGTAAGTAGAGAGGTATAGAGAAAGGTTTGCATCCCTTGACACTCATCTAATGGACCAGCTAACAAGCTTCCTTCTTTTCTTGGAAAGATCTCCAAGGCCAAACCCAGGTTCTTATGAGGGTCCCTCCAACTCTGGCAAATCTCTGTTAAATTAAAGTAGAGGGATTTGTGAAGCAAACGGAACGTTTGGGCAGTTAAGAGTTTTCTGCTTGTTTTCTGGTTTCCCATTCCCTTCAGTGACAGTTGTGTGATTCTGTAGAGGCGAAGATCAAATATTCGACCATAGTAGGTATTCTGGCTGAAGCGGACTTCCAGCTGTCCCATGGTTACCTTCTCCTCTTTCTCCATTATTGAGACATTGAAGTATAGCCTCTTTTCCAGGCAAATTGTAGTAGGAGGATTCGAGGGATGAGGGATGACAAATCGCCCTGGCAAAGAAACATATGGCACAAATAGGAATACAGCTAGTAACTGATGCAGATAAAGCTACATTGTTGAAGCAATTACACCATTTTGATCTATCTGCAGACAAAAAGGAAAATAAAAAGTAGTTTATCTATATTTCATTTTTTTTATTGTTATCAGGTTTTGCAGGTCATTAGATACCCTTACAATATGATCACTGCTGCACTACTTGCCCCAAAGTTATTGAGAACCTGACGCAACACACGAGTGCGTTCCACAAGGAATACAGAAGCTATAGGTGGTTTCTCCATTAGGGCCTATGGGTCATTACTTAAAAAAGTGTTATTAAACCTTCCCATTAGAACAAGATATATAGCAGCATACCTCATCTCTTACATTGCTTACCAAGCTTTTTTTGATCGCAGCCTGTCGTTTCTTTACACTTTTAAAGCCTTCTTAATTTTTCTCCCCCCTCATTTCCACCAATAGGGTGGTTATGCGGTCTTGCAGGGTCCCCTGAACCCCAGTGTAGCCACTCTTATTCCTATACCATCCCAGGATTACTTTCGCAGATGGCACAGCCAAATACTTGCAAAACAGAAAAATGGTCACCAGCACTCCAGGTTTTCTTCAAAACCTAAATCCTTTTATTCATTCTCACAGGTCATATCGACATGCGTGGCAACGTTTCGGAACCTGTCCGGTCCCTTCATGAGGCAAACAAGTCACTTTTGTTTGCTTGATGAAGGGACCGGACAGGTTCTGAAACATTGCCACGTTGCACTTCAGGTTTTTTGAAGAAAACCTGGAGTGCTGGTGACCAATTTTTGCTGTTCCACAAGTCCTGGACTTCTTTTTTTATTTTCAATGTGTCAAAACAAAAATTAAAATCACTAAACAAAATGAATTGGAAAAAAAAAAAAAAAGCGACCAATGACTCAACCCCAGCCCCTTTCAGTTGCCCGTCAGGTGGTCCCCTCGTCAACAGCTGAATGTAAAAAGGGGAAAGGATGCTGGCTGACATTTTTCCCCAAATATGGCCACAGGCAATGATACCAGCCAGCATCCCTGGCTCATTTTGTTTACATTTGGCCATCAGCTGGGGAGAATCTCCCGACTGGCAGCTGAATGATACCAGGGATGTGTAATTGGTTGCTAGGCTGCTGTCGGCCCGGTGTCCTAGTAATCAATTAAGATAAGCGGAAGGCCGTCACAAAATATAAACCAGCACATACATGCCCCATTCTGAGCACTGGCACCCATCCGTACATCACACCAGAGTTGGTTTTATATTTCCAACAGTTTCCTAATCTGTAAAGTGGAGGTTATAAAAAAACTACATGAATATGTCACACATCGGACTTGCAAGGTCAGTGTGGAGCTGGCTTTGCGACAGCGGCATAGGGATGCTAGAATAGAAAAAGGCCTTGCCAAAACGATTACCACAAGGTTCAAAGCACACGATTGGTTAAAATGTCTATGTTATAGCGTACTCTTTACTGGAAATACCTGAACTCTGTATGGAGTGGTGTTCATACTTTTAGCTGTATAATTGTAGGTGTGATGGTCAGGTGTCTGCAAACATGAGTATATAGTGTACATTCTTATGAACTAGAGCAATCATATTGGTTTTCATATCTCATATTTTAAGTACAAGTAGAGGGAAGTTGGAATCATAAAATCCAGAGTAAAAGGAAAGAGTGAAGTGGTCTCTGAAGCAACTCAACGCATACGTTTCCTGGTGGTAGAAAAGTTAGGGCCTAAAAGCAGATCGCCAAGGACACTTCCTCTAATTTCCTCTGCCATTCATAACTTAGGCCAATGTCACTTCTGCCTAAGAGGTTTCCTGCCCAGGTAAAATGAACTGAAAAAGGGAAGCCACATAGCAAATAATTTATGTTCTCAGGGTAAATTATATCTCACATCTGTACTATATATTCTCACTACCTTCTTCAGGACAGAAATCATTTGTCAAAAATCCTAGGTTCTAGATTCGAATTATATAATGGTATATTGACTCTTTTTGAATATATTAATCTGCAGGTTAATAATGGGACGATTCTACCTGGAGCCAGGCTTTAACATCCCTAATCTGGAGCCAAAGGCTACTGTAAGACTTCTTGAAGAAAGATGCCTAATGCATGGCAAATGCTTGCTGTACACTCAGCAGCTATACCAGCTAATGCTTGAGGTGAAGGCCAGGGAGTTTCATTGGGGAAGTTATGATTTCCAGAAATTCACATGGCCTGCTAAACACACATTCAAAGATTGATGTGCCCACACCTATCTAATTGTGTGGTCAGCACAATGGATCCCATTTAATGTAACAAGACATCTCACAAAATAGATAATCATTTATCAAATGCATGGAAGAGTAACTGCACAGGGTACCATCAGGTTGATCATCTAATGGAATGGAGACTGTTCACTTTGTAAAGTGAATGTTAGCAGATTAAACAAACCTGTGTTGACTTTAAAATGTCATATGTGAGGGAAATTGAAAACACTTTTCCGAGTACAGCCTCTACTCCTTTAGTAATTCCACCTGAAAATGGAAAGTTTTATCATACTTACTGTGATTTTCCTTTCCTGGTGCCCAACATGGCAGCATATCTTTGCAATTCTTAGTATGATGCCAGGTGGACTCCAGGAAAGTAGGTCCATATCCTCATGTTCATATCACATCCTGCACCTACCTTGGTCAGGAAACACTCGGATGACACTACCAGGGACATTAAACTCCTCCACAAAACACAAATCTGCTTTCTTTTTTGGGGCTGAGGGGCCCATCCTTTGATTGTATATCTTCCATAGTATAGACGGTATAGGAGGGGGAGAGACAGGGTTTGGCTTAAATGGAATGCCCAAGCTTTTTAAAAGCAAGCTTTCTCTGAGCTTGATTTCAGAATCCATTGTCACTGGAACAAAGAGACCAAGTAAAATCCAGAGCCTAAGCCACATCATCCTTGTAATCTGTACACAGAACTAACAAGTAGGGCTTTTCAACTATCCTAGTTGAAGATCCTCTAATCAGCTTTTAATTACAAGTACTTGTGGCCAATTTCAGTGGGTGTTAATGTGGAGCATGTACTATTTGCAGCTTTTAGGCTGGATCCACATCTTGAGTTGTAAAATTGAATGCATTTTTATTTGTTTTTAACGGACATTCGGGCATGCAATTTTGTACATTGAAATGCATTGGTAATATGCATCATTGTGCGTTACAATGCTTGGGTATTGTATAATGTTGAATTAAAATGCAGCTTGTTGAATGGTATTAATTAGGTTATATAGATTTCAAAAACACAATAAAGGAATGCTAGATGTGCATACGACTGCTCAACCAATTTCTGCCGTCTCAAAAATGCACACTGACAAAGTAATAGTTATGTCAGCTGACAACTGAGATATGAATGATAAATAATTGTTTACTTTGGTTTCCCTGTGATAGCTGGATATATTACTTAGCTGGAAAATGTTTTCTTGTGAAAGCAGCCTAAAGCTGGCCATACACCTATAGTTTATCTGCAGATTTTCTATGGTCAGATGGAAAAAGTGCAACAGATTCCTCCATCTATGCCAAACTGTGTGGATGGAGGAATCGCCTACTGGGCCAAGCTTCAGTATCTTGCTAGTCAATCCCGCTGGCTCTCAAAATACCTGAACAATCTGATTGGATGCAGGCATTGTTCAGGTATTTTGAGAGAAAGCAGGGCCAAGATACTGAAGCTTGGTCCAGTGGGAGATTCCTCCATACACACAGTTTGGCGTAGATGGAGTTTGCACTATCTCCATCTGACCATAGAAAATCTGCAGATAATATATAGATGTATGGCCAGCTTAAGGCCCTATTCACACTTGCCCTGCACTTTTGTGTGTATTCAAGTGCATTTGCACTTGGTGGGCCTTTATTTGTTAATGGCACCCCAAATGCAGCAAGCAAAATGCATGTCTTAACGTAGGACAAATGCACAAAGCTCGCAGTTCAAACTGCTGCATGAGCTTCTTTGCTGCATTTATTGCAGGTAGGGCAACCCATTGAATTTAATAAAATCCTGTATGAGTGAGACCTACTCAATTCCACAGAGTTTGGGCAGAGAATATCCAAGAGTAATGAGTGCTGGCTATCCTAAGAAGAGGATTTTGACTAGAATTTGTGTCTAATCCTCCAACAGATTGCTTTCTAGAGACAACTTTCCCACCTCATCCAAAAAAGAGGTTTGTACTGCAGTCATATATTCAAAAATTGCTAGACTCCCTCAGGATCATCATGGCACAGGATCTTCTTCTTTTTTAAACAAGAAAATTGAACAGTGGATTTCATCCAGTCTTTGACCTAAATGCACTAAATGCCTGTAACATAGCAAAGTCTGTTTTTGATTCTAGAAAATATATATCAAAGCGCTAAAGGTGTAACTAATAAAAGACTTAATGTAACCAAGTGATAAAGTGAAATTTTAGGTTTAGGCGGTCTAGCTCTAAAACAAGTGATGTGTCTTACATGGAATCATAAAAAAATTATGTCGGGCCCCGCCTTCTCCTCTGATGCCAACCCCCGAGCCCCGCCTCCACCTCCACTGCTGGGTCCAGCCTGCTCCACCACCACCACCGCTGCTGGCTCTCACTGACTCAGCAGCGGCCGTGGAGAGGAACACACCACTGCACAGATCACTATCAGTGAGCTGAACAGCGGCACATTTCTCTTCACAGCCGCCAGTGACAGCCAGCAGTGTGAGATGCCATAGCTACCCAGGTGGCCCGCAGGGCATCAGAAATGTCCTGGCCGGGCCCCCCTGTGCCCCGTGCCCCATAGCGGCCGCCTGGGTCGCTATGGTGATTATTATGCCACTGATTCCAGTGTCCCTGGCACAGGTGGGATAGGAATCTGAGTGGAGGAATTGACCTCTCTCTCCATTTTCCTCTTCTATGTAATCTCTTCAGTCCTCCTGGGCACAGGGTGTCCTGATTGGTTGCCTCCATTTATAGCGAAACACGTTGGAATCTTTTACCTGATACACAAGTTGACCAGTATACCACTATGAGCGATGATTGTGACTCTCAGAAGGAACCAACTGGCTATGTATATTTATGAATTGTGGTGTTTCTGGCAACGTATGCAGGCATTTATGAGGAAATCATGTTTTTTATGTTCAGAATCAAATCATCTGCCCAAATAGGGGGCTATGTTAATGAGAATTCTAGTCAAATGCTGTGCCTTCCATTCAAGCACATGCAGGGAAAAGGCAGTGTTTGAAAGAAAAGGCTGTGTTTGTGTGACCTGCTTTTCCTGCAGTTCAAATGCACCTTAATAGGACATGCTGCGTTCAAACACACGCAGCACTTTTCAAAGTAGGCTAAACGTAGCGTGTGAACTGCCATGTGCACTACTCGAATAAATTCAATAGGTTTTCGCTGACCTGCATTTGACGTGCGAAGCAAATGAACATCAAATACAGGACAATATCTCCCATCGACATGAGCCCTAAGATAATGCACAAAATCTACATTATATGGGTTTGCTGTGGTGCACAAATACATGCACACTACTTTGTTCAAGGGAAGAGGGTGCTTAACAGCTTTCTGTGACTCTTGTACATCAGTAATCACTTGCTTGCAGCACTGTAATTTTATCTGCCCTCTAGTGGAATATCTGTACAATTACTCCAAAATGTGAAACAGTACTTCAGCATGTGTTATATTATAAGAAGCTTGGCTACCAGCTGGACAATAGCCATCATGGGTGTGATGGAGCAGTGGTAGGTCTCAATGCTAGGGTTAAGGAGAGCTGTAATTATTATTATTATTATTATACAGGATTTATATAGCGCCAACAGTTTGTGCAGCACTTTACAATATAAGGAAGGCATTACAATTACAATTACAATACAATTCAAGACAAGATGGGAAGGAGGGCCCTGCCCGTGAGGGCTTACAATCTAAAAGGGAGGGTCAAGTGATACATGAGGAGGTAGCTGTGTGGGGATGGACTTTTTGAGAAGGTGATGGTTCAGTAGTTAGTTTGAGGTGGGATAGGCTTCCCTGAAGAGATGAGTCTTTAGGGATCATCTAAAGCCTTGGTTCTCAACTTGTGGGTCAAGACCCAAAAGTGGGTCACGACATTGTGTTCAGTGGGTCACCGCATGCCTTCCACTTTTCTAGGTGAGAAGCTCCTCAGCCTCCCCCTAGTGCAGCACTATCAGTTCTCACGCCAAGCAGCCAGTCACAATATGCTGCACGGTGCCGAGTGTCAGCTTGAGGTGGGGTGGGCTGGGCTGGGGGTATGGCCTCGAGGGAGCTCCATCCATACGTGCATTGCTTACAGATCCCTCACGTGTCCTGTAAAGGTGCCTGGACTGGACTGACGCCACATTCTGGCTCCTGGCACCTCTACAGGGCACACCAGGGAGTGTCAGGAACGCAGGCTGTTCCGGACTCTGAGGCCAGCGCAGGGACGGCCCCGTCATCGGCGTCTAGTTGCTAGGCGCTCCTCCTCTCCTTCTCACAGACAGTGTGACGCGACGGACGAGGCCCGGCGGCGTCCCGTTGCTAGGAGACGCTCGGGTCGGGTCTCGTCTCCGGCTCCGCCCCCAACAATTGCCTCTGCCTATTTAAACTGAGGCTGAACACTTGCTCGATGTTCTAGCAAAATAGTACGTCGAGCAAGCTATTAGGACCCCTCATCTTGAGCAGAGACCCTGTGACCAGCCTCTGGAACTACTAAGCCATCGATCCAGACTCCAGCTACCCCCAGCACCAAGGAGCAGTTACACTTCCCCTGACTGGACTCTCACCAAACAGCAAGTATATCTCTGCCATACTATATACAGGGGAAGTGTTGGTGCTGCCACCTTGTGGGGAAGTCTCATATTACATCCTCTCTGCTATTCTGCTATCTGCTCCATTACTGCTGCTTAGCCATAGTTGTTGTCACCTGCATGTAACTCATATTGGGCTTAGTGACGTTAACTGGCTCTCTCCTCGAACACTGCTGCACCATATACCCTGGACTGTTAATTCCTCAACCATATTAGATAGACTAGTTCGGTCCTTAGTGAAGCAACTAAGGCATCGAACTACAAATCACAACACGGCCCCAATGCTGTATAATTGAGGGCGTGACTCTACAACACGAATCCAACTCAATGCTCCCAGGATAAATGGTGTATGATGTGTAAGGGGTTCCGACTGCACTCACTGAATTAAAGTGTTACCGTGAACCTCCCTCCTGAACCATTTCCACTTACCTCCGCAGCTGAGATCCAACACTCGCCATCGTGCTCGCAGGAATCGTTACAGGGAGTTGTACAAGCAATGCACTTATGGATGGAGCTCCATCAAGGCACAGCAGCCCACACTGGACCCCAGTCTGCGGATCCACTCTGGTTCTTGTACGATAGGGAGACTGGGTGGATGTTAAAAAAGAAAAAATATATATATTGTTTTTGAGTTTGTGTGTGTGAGAATGTCTGTGAGTGTTTGAGATTGTGTCTGTGTTTCCGTCGGTGTTTTTGAGGGCCTGTTCACAAAAGTACAGTGTGTTAATCGCACAGTCCCGTGCAATTAACGCACTGTACCACACAAAATTGCACCTACTGCGAATTCTGGTGTGGGAGTTGTGTTGCATTGCTATTCATTTGAATGGCACCCCAAACGCACCTCCCACACACAGCTCGATCGCCCGCACCTGAATGCGCAGTACCGCAATGCCATGCATTCCAGTGCGGTGCGACTTGGGTCCTGACCAAGGACAAATGTGGGTCCTGAGGTTACACAGGTAGAGAACCACTGATCTAAAGGCAGTCAGAGTAGGAGATAGTCGCACAGGTTGGGGTAAAGAGTTTCAGAGGATGAGAGACACTCTAGTGAAGTCCTGGAGGCGAGCATGGGAGGAGTTGACGAGGGAGCTGGAAAGCAGGAGATCTTTGGAAGAGCGGAGCGGACGGTTAGGGTGATACTTTGAGACA